AGACAGATGTTAACTGAACTGCTTTTACAAGTATACTAGCTTAACAAAATAGCCAGACACAGAGATTGACAATAAAATGGAAAGCTTACCATCAAACTATGGAGACATGGTTAACTAAATGGTTTAAGACTGTAATGCAGCCCTTATTTGTTTTCTGACATTATTGCTGAAACTGGGTTTGGCTTAAGAGATCCTAAAATTTAGTGACTGCAATTTTAGGGCATCATATCATACTCTTATTTACCCCAGAGGCAGAGCAACAAGGTCTAATGGGAGAAGGTGCCATCCGTCATATCAACAGACATTTGTAATTAGACTCACAGGTGCCCTGAGGATTCACCAAAAACATTCACATCTGTTCTTTCTAGTCCCCAAAGATAACATGCAGCTCTTCAGACATAAAATAGATGATTATAACTAATAGTCTGGATATTCTGTCACTGGCAGAAAGCTTGTTTACAATAATAAATTATACTGTAGAAAAACAGTGTAATGGAAGCATTTCCGAGGAAAATCAATACATGCTACATACTTTGGATATACTCACGCAAACTAAGCATTTAATGTACCTTTTGAAATTTCTGTTTTCTTCCCAAAACAGTGTTATCGTCCTCGCTGAGAGCGGCCCCAGTGGAATGCCTCCATGGCAACAAGTGGAGCAACAAAAATTTGGGACTAAGCCAAATGCATAAGGCCAAACACCTCTGAAAGCTCAAACCAGTAACAGGCTCTTCCTCAGAAACAGTAAGGGGTAAACAATACAGCTGATTATATTAAAATTACAGGCTAGTCTTTCAAAACAGTCATGAAAGCTTTTGTTCTGAAGATTGCATATGGTGATAACAATGATGCACAAGTGAAACAACCCAAGTATCTTATAGAAAGTAAAAGGCATACAGAAATGTTAAATACCGAATAATCAAAGACAACAGAGCCTGTTTTCCACAGACTTGAATTTAATTTTTATTGATAGCACATCTACAATAAAAATTACCATTAAAAAGATTCTATTAACTGTCTTTTTATACACTTTCTTTTCTGCTAATCCAGCTTAGATTTGAGAATGTAGTTAGAATATTCCATCAGTCAAAAGGTGACAGGTGGGTTACACCTGAGACAGGTCACAGTGCTAACACAGAAGAGATAAATTGGCATATTCCAAGCCTATAGCTGATTTAGAATCACAAGTTCAACTAACATGGTGGGGGAATGCAGACTCCACACAGAAAGACTGCAGCCAGCAAGCAGGTTTGAACCCTAAACCTCCTCGTTATGAGGCGACAGGAGCAAGGACAGCACCACTGTCCACCCTCCACACTGCGGTGTCCAGGTTTATATGTCCAGTGTCTTCAGTCCAAGACAGGGGTTTTGGAGTCTGTCAGACTGTGGGAGTAGACACTCAGGCAGCTGAATGATGCCGAAGGCCACAACAACAAAGACCTAACTAGGGAGCCAGCTGGCAGAAAATAAGAGATGTGAGGGACCAGGGCTGTTTAGCAGTGACTGAACTTGACGTGTCCCTTAGCATACTGACAGCAAGGGGGGTGGAGGGGGTCAAAGAAAATAAATAAATAAATAAAATACAGATAACCCTCTGTGGGATCATGTCAACTATGAGTCTGGCTGACTCCTTTGAATTTGGGAGACAGAAGAATGAGAAAGCTCTAGCATACAAATGCCAGTCACAGAAGACAAAATACCACAAACTAGGTGACTGCAGGACAAAACAGCAAAATAACAACCTTGCATAATTACCCACAAGAAAGCAGTACCGATACTGAAACAGCAAAAGGACGCAAATTCCACCTACAGTACACACACGCGCGTGCACACATGCATGCACACGCACACATGCATGCACACGCACACATGCATGCATGCACACGCACACATGCATGCATGCACACGCACACATGCATGCATGCACACGCACACATGCATGCATGCACACGCACACATGCATGCACACGCACACATGCACAGTTCGATGAAAGATCTTGCAGTGTCAGTGGTAACACAAATTCAAATCAATTTGAGACAGCGGTCACAAAATCTGAGGGCTCAAATCAGATAAATATAGAAAGACAACAATCCAACCTAGAAAGCGACTCAGTTTTATCAAGTTATCCTGTCAAATGTTACACATACTTCTAATCTGTCTCAAATTTAAGAGAATGCAGAGCCACCTCTATGGCAAAGATACTCAAGTTTCCAAAGATAGTATGAGGTAAAATTACATCTTGAAACTTTGTTGAAAATGGCTGACAGTCAGTGCCATGACTGACCACACTGCTTTGCCTTTGAAGCACTTTTGCCTAATTCTAGATTTATAGCATTCACAAGGTTCTCAGAAAAAGTCATCTTGACCTCAAGTTTAGATGTCAAGATCACCGAGACTCAAACTTGCCTGAGATTTTTAGTAGATAGACCTATGGTATGAATTTGGAGCTCCTGTATGGTCCTATTGCATTTAGAAACTTAGGGTCCCCGCCCCCTGCCCTCCCATCCAGCAGTGTGTTAACAATACCTTATCAGCCTTTTACAACTGAGGGGTTGGAAAAAAAAAAGGGTAAATAAATAAAGGGTAAAAAAATGATTACTTATTTCTTACTGTATTGTCTAAAAATGTGGGAAGAGGATTACTACTCATGGTTATATATTTCTTAGATTGATTTTATATTCACTTTTTAATTTTGGTGAGACAAATCAAGTAATTGGAAGATGTCACCGACAGGTCTCCCCATTTTAAAATCATTCCGTCGTCAAAGTCATTATAAGTGGTTTGAGATTTGTGAATTTAAAAGCCATTCACATCACTTCTATTGGCACGGGGGTTGCCAACAGAAGTGCCCCCAGCAGAACCAAAGGATTCCTTCACTGCAGAAGTCTAGCTTTTCACTTTTGTCTTTAAGAATGAACCCATGGCTTTTATTTTCTAGATAAATCAATTATTCTACAAAATAGGCAGTACTTGCGACATTAGTGAACAACTTTCTCTTGCCGTTTTGAAATGATTAATGACCTCTATAAAGAGACTTGGGACATATAGAGAACTTGAGCTGCCAAGCAGGGCAGATATATTTCAAAACCCATCAACCTGATACTGAATACTCACTTAACCCAGCTGTCTCAGCCAATTTACAGACTATTCAACAATATTCCTCTTATTTCAGAAATTATTGAAAGGGGAAAAAACCCCAGCTAAATGATCATCTGCAGAGGAATGGTTTATTTGAAGAGTTGCAGTCAGGATTTACACATCATCATCTTGTGGCAACAGTGGACTCCTCTCTATGATTGCCCTGCTAGACCTCAGTGCAGCATTCACTGCCATAGACCACAATATTTTACTATACAGATAAGAACATGACACAGGTATTAAAGGTACTGTGCTGCAGTGGTTCAAAGCAAATCTATCAAACAGTTTGTTCATATAAATGAATCATATAAAAGGCGTTCCACAGGGTTCTGTGCTGGGACCAGTGCTTTCATACATTATAAAAGCTTCACTAGGGCAGTATCCTTAGAAGGCATAGCAAACATTTTCATAGACTACTTGCTTGTAGTTCCCAGGATATTTAAAAGTAAAATGGGATGCAAATCCTTCAGCTTTCAGGACCCTCTTCCGTGGAACCAGCTCTGAGTTTGGGAGACAGACTCCCTGTCTCTCAATACTTTTAAGATTAGGTTTAAAACTTAACATTTTGATAAAGTTTATAGTTTGAGCAAATCGGGTGACCCTGGACCCTCCCTTAGATTTGCTGCAATAGGCCTAGGCTGCTGGGGGCTTACCATGATTCACTGAGCATTTCTTCTAGACTCACCCCTTTTCATTCTCTCACTGCATTTTGCACTCCATCATCAGTTATTATTAAGCTCTTCCTTAATAGTGTGTCTTTTATCTCGTCTCCCTCCCCTCACCCACAACTGGTCGCGGCAGATATAGTCACACTCACACACACACACATATATACACGGCGTTTTTTTAAGAGCTTTGGACGCCCACATACTTCCGACTCCAGCTGTTTTCCAACTAAATCCAAGTTTTTAAGAAACGACGGCTGAGGTTTGATAATCCGTGAGTTATTAAGCGGTACGTTTTCTCCAAACATGAACGTAAAATGTGCAGTCTGAAAACACAAAACAGCTGCTATAAACACACAAGCCCCGTTAACCCAGCTGCTAAAACTCACACGACCCTGCAGTTTCCAGCTGATTCCACCTCTTCCTCGAAATGCTTACAGAGCTAAAACCCTGCACGGCTTTTAGTTTGACCTGTAAACAAAATAACAATTAACTCTAACATTTCAACAAAGTTTCAAGCTAAACCTGGCCTCAGATAAACCCTTCGGAGCGCTGCCACCGAGCAGGCTGACCTTATCCAACTAATTAACTTACTCCGACGGGTCGGACTGGGAAGCTAGCGTTCAGCTAGTAGCTGCTAGCGTCGGCTGTGTCTGCCTACCTCGGCTGAGATGTCATGGTGCGTCTCACAACAACCAAAGTTGGTTGTCATGCGTCTCTCACAGTCCTCGCCGAGGTCTTCTTCTCACTTGGTCACATTGTTTACCGGTGAAGGTGGGTTGTTAGTTTGAAAACTGTCAGGACGACGTTGTTTAATAGTTGTCTGCTGCCACTACGTGTTTGGGCTTTCCACTCTGTCTGCCTAGTGGATTGTTCTACTCTTCTTAGCCATCCGGGGACCAACCTCAGTTTTATACACTCAAATTTGTTAAAAAAGATTGCTAAAGCTGTCGATTTGCTTTTCTAAGTATATATCGAAAATAAATGTGTCGAAAGAGTCCAATAGGGGCAACATTATTAATCGTTTTTTCTCCTTTAGAGGGGTTTGCGCAAACTTTTCACAATTACCCCTGCCTGAGACACATGGTACAGCCACCTGTGTTTATATTTACGTTACGTGCTCCATCGTGATTTAACTTGGTTGACGGTACCTGAAGAATAGAATGAATAGAATGATTACGTAAAACAAGAAAAGATAGAGAATAAGTAAGTAATTTTATTATAATATGATATAACAAAACATGTAAAATGTACATAAACAAAAACAATGCTTTATTTTATAATATTTATTATTTACAGTGAGCTCTTGCCATAATTTTAGTATTGAAAACCCTACAGCAAATAATCATTTGATCTCATGATTATATGTAATGGAAAAAGAGAGATTTAAAAAATCTGATTTAGGGAAATCATCCCCTTTGTCCTGTGTGGTCCTGTTTGATATATTTGACTAATATCCATTCATAAATAAGATCATTTGAGGGGACACATGAATAAATTGTTCTTGGCAATATGTATCCATTGAACTTAAAAAATGACTCAGTAAGAAAGCAGACAGCTTAAAGGCAAGTATGACTGGCTTTTAAACACACAAGATACCTTTTTTTCTTTTCTTTTCACACTTTCTTGTGATTTGTTTGTTGGTGGTGATTAAGACAGGCAGAATGTCCTGACTCACTCTTCACCTTTGTCACACCTTTCATGACATTTCGGAGAAAGGTCTGTCTGGAGGCCCAATAGGAGGGTTATGTTATGCTGCCCCTGGTCGCCTGCCAGCAGAGCACACCAACAAAAACCCTCCTTCATTTAAGCCTTAATAGTGCTTAGGCTTAATAGTGTGTCTACACTGTAACAGAAAAAAGGTTTCCCCCCACTGCCCACCCAAACCCCTTCAATCCATACAAAACAGTACATCAATAACAACAGATATGGCATTGATTATGTTATGCAGAGAAGAGAGCTGGGATGGGGTGGTTTGCAAAACCACTTGCAGATGTTCAGTAAATGTAGACAGACTACATGAAATTTTCCAATTTTGTGTATTAAAGAGTATCAGCTCAGCCATCAGCTGATGTATTCTGGCACTGAGATTTGCCAAGGTTTGCTTAGGATGACTTTTTGTCATGACCAAACTAACGCTGTGATTGATAGTCAATTCAAACAGATTTTCTTTTATACTAGGCTTATCATTTAAACATGCAGTTGGAATGGATCTTTTAGTATATATTTTGATCATTAGGAATAATTCCACTAATTATTTTAAACAACTGATTATTATTTTGAGACAGATCACAAAAACTGCAATGGAACAGGAGCCTACTTGAAGCACCTTTGTGGATTTTCTTGTCCACATTTTGGAGGAATATGTGAAATATGGTGTTTGTTAAAAGACAGGAATAATGCTCAACATTTCACAGAGAAACTGGTGTTTCACCCTACTTGTAGTTTTTTTATGGCAGTAAATTATTTATTTATACTGATTGTAATTCTGGTGCAGTACTACCCTGTAAGAAGTCTGCCATCCAGTGGATGCACAGTAAACGGGACTTAATTCCAGTACTTCCATTAGTTTACACCATACCCAGGAGGTGGCAGTATATTATGTCCTTGTGTAGTAATGAAATGCAATAAGATATTTGTTTGTGAGGATTTTATGCATAACAACTGAATAAAATAAACAAACAGACAAAATGGAAGTGGGAAAAAGAGCAAAAATATGTTTACAATCACATCTTATCATAGCTTTCTTAAATAGTTAAACTCAATAAAGATGTGAGAGTGAAAGGAAAATGAAATGGTTTAATATTAAACTATCAACCCTTATAACACAACATTAACATCATTGCATTCTTCATTTAGAGAGAACATTTACATAGCTTTTTGCCTTTCAGTAAGTCAGCAGAGCAACAAGTTTGCCCTGAAAGTTTCAGAGTGCTTGACACATCTAAAATCATTCCCCATCTGCTCCTTTTAGCCAAAGTGCCACGAAACACCCTTACAACTGAAGTCACATAAACCAAAAATATATCAAAAGAATATTATTGTGGATAATACAAGTATATGTGCCATATAATGTTCATAATACCCACGTCATCATGCTCATATGCTTGATCATCATCTTAACACATATTTCTGAAAGAATGTAGTATACAGCTTCACTGATCATAGCAAGTGCATTAAATGCATTTTGTCAGAATAGTAAATAATATCGTTACTATCACTCACATGGCTTTCCAAGTTTAGTGAACTTGTGGACCTCACTGTCATTTTCTGTTCACTCAGGTAAGGGATTTAAAAGCACACTGAGAGCACTAGAGAATAAATCTAAACTTGCTTAAGAATATAGAGAAATTACAGTTATTAATCTTTTCTGCCCCAGCCTTACCCCTGAATTACAATCCAAGCATAACCATCCATTGCTAGCATCTCTGATACCCTATTTTATTATTGGACCTTGGAGACCCACAATAGATTTTCCTTATTGCTGTTGGCCACTTAAGTATAAATTACAACCACTTCCAAACACACTTGTTACTTGTTGCTTCAAAATAGCTCACAAGGAAATAGTGAACATTGTATTCTATTCTATGAGTCTGAAAGGTTTACTTACTAGATACCTTAGAAAGTAAGCTTTTAACATACAAAGTATGAAAAGAACAAATAAAGTAAAATGTCTAAAGCGTTTATATAAGCAATAAGAATGTAACACTTCCAGCTTCCAGGTATGATCAAATTAGCTAGATAAAAAAAAAACAAGCTGTGTGACAATTTTATACTAACCCCCGTGGGTATGTGGCAGCTTTAAATTAATGAAAAGCAAACGATGCCAATTTTTAAAGAAAATCACCATAAGTTATAGAGAGAGCTCCATCTCCTTTCTGACAAAGGGACTGTTCTTTTTTTTTATTCATTCTGTACATTTGCATCTAATACTTCCATTAAAATGTCTAAAAATGCAGGACCTTTCATATTATTTAATATCCTAATTGGTGGTTTTACTTAAAAGATCTGGATACCTCTACCTCTGATATTTTATCCAGCACTTTGTTGTTGGCGCTGATTTGGACTTCTTTGCCAGAAGGTGACCAGATATGGAGGACATTTAAGAACCGTGTCCCCCAGAGCATCTTCCTGGGTAGAAACCTGGATGCAGAGCGATGTCCCAGCGTTCTGTGTGCTGAAATGCTGTGTGACGTCGTAACGAAGGCCGCAGCTCTCTGCGATTGTTGTAGGGCTGTTATGTGCGTGTAGTGTAGTGGCAGCTGGAGCAGTGGCTTTGACCTCCAGTTGCTCATGTCCCACAGCAGATATATCCACAGGCAATACCGCGTAGGCATGCAAAAAGCTCTCACCAATGTTGCACTTGAGGTCAGTAGGCCAACAGTATTCCCCGAGGTCTCCTAGGAAAGTAAACTAGTTTGTGAAGGCCTATACACATGCGCAATATAAAACAGGTCAGTCAGGTGGAGATAGATGCAGCAGAACCCCTTTAATTAGCGATGATGTCTCTCAGGAATTATTTTCAGAACACAGCCTGAGATTTGATTTTGCAACAAACACCCCGCACGCCTCCAACCCAGAGTTGATGGTGTCATGTTGTGTCTCCTTACCTTCAGTTGAGTCTGACAGCCGAATATTATGATTGTCCTGAAGCTGCAATTTTTTGATGTATGTCATCCCAGTACACTCCATTAAACAGTCACTTGGTTGTATCACCCTCCTGGGAAGCGGGTTGATCAGTGTTTCTTTTTCTGAACATTCAATTGCGCCGACAGCCAGCAGAAGTGGCCACAGTATGCCAAAAGACAACCATATGCCGATATGTCCTGGCATTCTGTCCAGCATTAATCAAAAACCGAGGCAGCTGCCAATGTTGAGCTAGACCTGAAACTTCACAGACTTTAAACTTAGAACTATATGTAAGGATTTCACTGCAGCCAGGAAAGGATTACATGTACAGCAGCTAAAAAAACATTAGAGGCTCCTCAGAAGTACGCAACATGTTGCTCTCCCTCACACCAACACCTAGTTTTATACAGTACTGTGCCAACTTTTCCTCATCATCTACTTTTTCCCTCCCACTTGAATTAACAGCAAGTCTGTGGCTGGCAGTAAGCCACGAGGGGCTGGTATAAGGAAAGTTTTATTTAAAAATGTCAGTTCAGAGAATAACATAAAGAATACTGTAACGTGGGTTGTATTCAGTGGTTGAGAGGACCACTCAGCCCACAACAACACTGGTACTGGGAATTCCACAGAGCTTGTCCTTTAATAAACACACTATTCACTAACCTTACAAGGCCCTGTTGAACGGCTGCTGTCTTATCATGAAGCAAGCAGTGTTCATACAACTCGTAACGTTACTTTGAGTTAAGGAGGTAAAGATATGAGGTCCATCTGAGTCCATGTGTTCATGTGCCAGCACGCTTCTCACACACTCTACAGGGGGCAGTGGCGCATACTTGTGACATCACTAAACATTAACTTGGGTGGTCTTAAAGAGACACCACACAATTGTGACTGTTACAATGCATTGTTGTGATATGTTATACTTGTATTTCTTGTGTTTTATTGTGAAGCATTTTGTTTAATTTGTGAATTATACTTACACAATAGCAACTGAGAAGTATTAAAAAAATTAGCTGATTTCAATCATTTATAATCTTTTATTGGAATAAGCAAGAATTTATTGAATGGTACAAGTGATTAAGATGGGAAAACAATGTCTTGAGCACAGTAAAAAAAAAAGGTTTATCTAAATATGTTAAATTGCTTTATTGTATAGCACTGTAAGCAGTATTACACTTGTGAAACATTACTTAAAACATGGTGGTAATTTTGTAAAATAAGCCGTATACAACAAAATAAAATTACAACCAAGAGCTGTCACCAGTCTTAATTAAAAAAGCATACATTTGCAAACAAACAAACAAAAAAACAAGAATTCTTCCGTGTAAATGTATATAAAAGCAGTCAGATAATGTAATGTAAATTACGCCACAAAAACATAAAACTGAAGCACCCAATCTCAAAAATAAGAATCTGAATTTTGAACTGTTGCAACTGGCAGAATTTATATACATATGACAAATCAGAATGAAAATTAAATGTGAACAGAAGATTGTTTGTTCTCCTCTGTTAAAGCATGTCAGTCATATCACCAGTAAATAGTTTAATTATGAACTTTTAAAGTTGCAGTTTTTGGGTTTGTGGGCCAAAATTGTTTTTCTTTTTCCTCAGTTGAAACATGAAAATATAGAGTATAACCAATGGAAAGTCATGCCCATGTCCCAGAGAAATTAATAGATTGCTAAATTTATCTTGTGAGCATGAAACATAATCTATGAAGATGACATATCAGAGACGATCTGCTTTAAGAGTAGAGCCTGATCCTCTTGTGAGAGGGTCTGGCTCAAGTCTTACATTTCTTCAGGGAACATTTCTTCTCAGTAATAGTTAACAGCTATTAATAGTAGCCTGTCCACATGAGATTTATTTAAAGACAGACTGTGAGGATTTACCATACATGTGTTGGCTGGAGCTTTCTTTGGTTCAACGTTTACAGACAAAGACATAAAGATTGTGTAATTACTGTTAAATCAGTTGAACAATAATTGTCCAGCTTTCCAAAACTCCTGTTTTAATGGAAAGCCCAGACTTGCTTTGGTTTCTGGAGCCAGTGCTGAATGCACTTTCTATTTTAAAAGGGAAAGACAACCTACAAAAGCAGCGTTTGTATGAGAACAGAATTGTGGATATGATTTTTTGTTCTTTTGATGTGTGTATAAAAGCCAAGCGGTTCATACCACACACTCAAGACAGCCTACTCCTTGCCAGGATCCTCAGAGTTGCCCAGCCCACAGCCACAGCTGCGGGTCAGCTGCATGGAGGAAATGACAATGGTGCTGGATTCATCCATATAGACAATGGGCACCACTTCATGGGAGATGGGCTGACAGCATGGCACCTGGTCCTGGGAAAAGATAAAGAGAGCAGGAATCAGACACGGTGCATATTTTCATGATTATAGAGCTGACGCTTAAGCATTTTAAAAATTGTATTGTTGTCATATTTCAGTGAAAAAAAAAACCCCCATAAACATTTAGAGTGTGCAGGACTTGCTCTGCTCCACACCAAATAAAGCAAGGTGTCAAGAAATGATTTACATTTTTATTTTGTTTAAATAGAAATGATTTAAACAAAATAACAAACACTTCAGCTTCTAGTTTTGATTTTTATTTACTGTTCTGTTTCCACAATACTCTCCTGCTGTCACGGTTTTTCTGGTCGATGAACTTTGTGGAATGCCTTGGCTTGTTTTTGGTCAAGTTCATTTATGTTGGCAGGAAGAAGAAGTACACATGCTTATCTACATGCAGCTGTTTCGCCTCCAGAGTACACCAAGGTAAGATACGTGCTGTTCTTAGGCAGCATAGTAGAAAATAACAAAGTACATCATAAATCTAAGCATCGTGCTGTTCCCACACACCTCTGAGAATTTCCTATGCCAGGTTTTGTTTTTTGGGGGACTAAAGCACAACATATAAATATCTATGGATGTAAATGTGAGTCAAAAACATATAAATCAGTGAATTATTCTCTTGTAATAATGTCTTTGTTAACTAACTGTGTGTTGGCATCCTGGATATTTACTTGGGATGGTGGGCATTGCACAGTGGTCATGGCAGAGTTGCAGGTTGCGCATTGAACATAGGTAAGACTCAAGGGCTGGATCACCCAGCTGTCCCAGCCCAGATCTGGGAAATTAAACACTTGATTACTGTACTGAAAAATGCTGCATACCAGTATTATTGTTACACATAAATAACAATGTATTGTTACACACCTTTCATAAAGATCTCTGAGGCAATGGAGCAACAGTTCAAGCTCGCTCTGTTTTGATTATCAGCTGATGCAGAGTAGCCTGGGACTGCTGGGGCTGGAAGGAGATACAGAGGCACTGTAAGACTTTAGAGTTGACTGCCACTAAGCGCTAGGTTGAGGGTGGTACATTTTTCTGTGTATCTTTTGATTTCACATACTTGCAGTATGCTTGGCTGTGTGAGAAATGATGCTGAAGGTTCGGTCCCACTGCTCTCTGACACTGTCCAGTGCACCGGCAGGTAGCTGCGGCTCAGTCTGCAAGTTCAGAACCCCAAGGAGGTTCTTTTTGATGGACTGCCATGACTCACCTTGGCACCTGAACATCACGTACAATGTTGTGTTGGAAAAAAATAAAAGAAAGTAATCTTTGTTGTTTTTACAGCATTAAAAGAAAAAGTAGTTGGTTTCTAGATACCCTCAAATACCCTCGTGGACTAGTGGTTTGCAGATGTTTGGCTGAAGTGAGACAAGTGTGACTGATTTCATTACTGCAGCTTGAACAGAACAGTCTGTTATGTCTCTGTGCAGCTCTCCCTGAAAACCATTTGGGCAACATGACCCTGAATCACACACTGAATTTACTATTTAACCCATGTGACCTCACCGCACGTGCATCAGCACACAGCTCACTCTGATTTCTGAACAATAGAGAAAGATTTCCTTGAAACATTCCCAAAACATAATTAAAACATCATACAAATAGATGGCTGTACTAACAAAAACTACATAGGCACGCAAAATTGTGGTGTGGTTATTGCAGAGGGTCTGATTTGGTATTGATACTGACCTGTGACCTAAGACAGCAGCTTCAGGTTCTTTCCTGGATGGATCCAAGACAAATGCCATCATCATGGAAGAGCCCAAAAGCATTGTCATGACAATGAATGCAAAGGCCATCGTGGATGAACACGTAAGACTGGCTGCAGACAAAGGCTGCGGTTGGTTTCGAACGTCTGGTCGGAGGAGGAGATAGGAGCGACAAAACTGGGATGCTGCGCTGGGTATTGTTTGTCAGGGTCTGGGAACCACGGTTTTTATCTGCTTGTACCCCAACGTGGCCTTGAGATAGTTAACACTGTAGACTTTTCCCCTGTTCTGTGTGAAAGAATAAATGAACGAAGATTAATGGGTGGAGAAAGAGAGGTCACAAATGCAGGCAAAAAAAACCTTAGGAACAAGAGGTACACATATGTTGTAAAAAACATGTACTCATGTTATAGTATGCCTGCCTGGGCACAACACTTTGACAAAAAGTTTGAATTTATATTTAAAGTTGTTGTTTCTATTATTATTACTTGTGTATTTTTGCTATTTCCATAGGTGAAGGAAAATTATGAACACGTCTCGATGTAATGCAGTCCATTAAACATCCTGACTAAATGACCTTATCAGTGAAATACCTAATGTAACAAGAGGCACTCTGAGACTGTCCTTCACCAAGGCAGCTCACTCTGAGGGCAGTATTGCATTTATATAATTACTTAGTTTTCTTTGTTTGTTAAAACATACTTTAAGCAGTTTGTAGTGCACTGAAACTCCTGTAAGGGTTGCGTGACAGATGTTTCATTTGATTATACAAACATTATATCACAATAGGTAATGAATAATAGGCACTGATTTTTAAAAAACTGGAAAAGAATAACTTGAGCTTATTATATAAAAACTACTATATTTCTAACTAACTAGGCAGTTATTTATCTTTCTCTGTACAATACTTTCATTAAAGTCTTAATGCACTTTGCAGTCAACTTGAAAGAAAGTAAGTAAAATTAAAAAAGGAAAATTTGAGATCAGGCATCATGATATTTAGATGCAAACTATAATGTGATGTCATATCCTGAATGTTGCAAAAAAAAACAAAGGCAGCAGAATTTTAAGCACAATTTTATGAAAGTTTTTTGACCTTGAAGAAGAGATCAGAGGTCCAAAGTGGCGTCATACTTGGAATATCCATATATCATTTCCTATATGTTGTCAGTACAAACAAATTGAAGTAGAAAACAGTTTTAAATAGCTCTATATTCCATTAATATAACTTTTAAAATGTGACATGATCTTTTAAATTTTAATACTTTCTACACAATATATTAGGTTATAAAGGTTTAGTAAATTTTTTACCTTGAAGATCGGGATGGCTGTAAGTCAGATTTTAATTAATAGTTAATCAGGCCCCAGTCTGCACCCCTATAATGTTTTATCACAATTCATTCAAAAGGCATTTTATATTGTAAGGTAAAGAACCTACAATAATAGTGAGAAACCCCCAACAATCAAATGATCCTCTTTGAGCAAGCACTTGGAAACAGTGGGTAGGAAAACCTCCCTTTTAACAGGAAGAAATCTCTGTAACAACCAGACTCATAGAGGGGTAACGGCAACAGTCGGGGTGAGGGAAGACAGACAGGACAAAAGTATGTGGAAGAGAGTCAGAGATAAATAGTGACTACTCATTAAATGCAGAATGGTGCGTAAGCACCAAGTTAGTGAAAAGGGTGAGTAAAGAAGAAACACTCAGTGCATGATGGGAAGCCCCCAGCAGGCT